GAAAGAATGTGTGAGGGCTAATTCCATAGCAGGTGGGGAGCAGCAGCTCACTTTCCTGACCTAAAGAACCCACCTCATCTCCTGCCCCTATAGGAGCAGGACACCTGCCTGTCCTGGCAGCTATAGCCCCTCCACTTCCTGCATATCTTAGGTCCTGGGTCCTCCCAGTGCTTCCCATGTATGTGGGAACGTCTACATTCTGGAGCCACTGGTTTGCCTAGCTGACTCTCCTTAGCAGCTCTGCTCATCAGCCTGCCCTGCCCTGGCCTGCAAGGAAGCCTGACGGCAGACTCCCCACCAGCCAGCCCTCTGCAGGCTCCCTCATTTCCCCTGAGGGTTTGTTTCCTGTCTTCTGCCCAGGCTGGGTCAGTTGCGCCTCTAGGCTCTGATAGTGCCCATGAGCCCCTCACCTAAACATCCTTGTCTCTCTGCCACCTGCCCATTCTGGATGGGGAACCTATGTTCCCATTACCCAGTGTCCAATGAGCAACTGAAGTAGGAGGAAAGGGGCCTAGCACCCAGCCTGTGCACCTATACTTCCAGACACAGCAGCCCTGTAGGCCACACCTGGCCCCCGGCCTGGATTTGTAAACACAGTTTTACTGGTAGACAGCCTTGCATACTGGTTTGTTTATCGTCTACCACAAAGCAAAATCAAGTCATTGTAGCAGAGACCATCCTTCCTACAAGACCAAAAATATTTTTTGCAGGGTTTTTTCTTCCCCTTTGTTTTGGTAATACTAGGGACGGAGCCCAGGGCTTTGTATATGCTAGGCAAGTGCTCTACCACTGAGCTACATTCCCTGCAAAGGTGAAAATATTTGCTGTCTGGTCCTATTCAAAGAAGGCTGAAACCCTGCTGCAGGATGCACAGAAGAAATGCAAGGACACACTAGTTAGGAGCAGTGACCCTGGAGCCAGTTGCCTCAGCCTCTCTCTCACTATATGACCTTAATCTCTCTGAGCAATGGGTGAAGGAGGAGGAAATGAAGGCACATGTAAAGTTCTAGAACAGAGCTTGGCCTCTACAAAGTACTGTCACTTATTCATGTGTGACATCCAGCCTCAGCAAGATGTGAACAGGCTCAAAGGCCTTGCTCATGGCAGCAATTGGGCATTTGTGACCCAGATAGATGGGGAGCCTGCTACCTGGGGAGCAAGACAGGCTGTCTTGAGGGTGTGGTAGTTTTCGTACCCATTGAGGATCCACTTGAGTGCGGCTCACCCTGTGGAGCCATTCCAGCCCTTGCTCTTTGGCCCCAGAGCTTGAGCAGGACGGACCGTAGGAGTGTGGCAGGTAGGCAGTCTGCTCCTGCATCCTTTATGCTTCTCAGTCTGCTTGGCTTCCTTTTGTTCCCTGCTTGAGATCCTGTCTAGAATGGTGGTGATAGAGGGTGGGGAGGGTGGGGGAGGGCCCTCCCTGGAAAAGAAAAGCCACAGGAGAAAGGAGTCACAGCTTAGTCCCGACCTCCATTGACTGCACAGCACAGCCTCCTGCCCAAGAACCCTCTTTATAGTTTCCCCTTCTGTTGTCCTGTTGTATCCTCTCCTGTCCCCTTCCCAACCTCTCTGAGCCCTGTGCACACAGCCCCCCATACACTGGTCCACTGGCAACCATGGAGAGTTCTGGATTGGTTTTTGGTGGCCATACACAGGCATGTCTTAGTCTTTGGGCCCTTAAGATCCTGCTCTTCCTGTGGATCCCTCACTGGTGACTGAATAGAGAACATGAGGGCCAGTTGCCAGCTTGGAGTCTACCAAGGGTTTCCTGGCCTGCAGGGCCAAGGCCCTGGTAGCCCCTTAGGTCCACCACCGGTTCCATGCCCCACAGAGGAACAGCCACCTCCCAGGATACTCTTACCCTGGAGGCAACCAGGGTGGCTTCACCTGACTACAGGTGCTTCTGGACCAGTGCCTGAGCCTGCACAGGTGTGCAGTTGTCCCCAGGGCCCATGTTGGTGAGGAGAAGGTGGGCAGCATGTGTAAAAGCCTGGAGCCTTGGCATTTGGGGTTAAAGAATGGAGTATGGCAGCGAGGAAAGGGCTGTGGGGGTAAGAGTCTGGGTAAGTGGAGGGGTTTGGATCACACACCTAATGGCTGGTGTGAGAGCTCAATGTTTCCCAAAGGAAAGCTTTTGTTGTCGTTTGCTTTGGTGATTTTTGTGGTGCTGGGGGCGGGCCCTGGGCCACGAACATGTCAGGCAAGCACTGTTCCACTGAGCCACACTCCAGTCCCCACAGGAAGAATTTGAAAAAGCAGGGAGGAACATGGTGCAGTTTGTTGGTTGGTTTTTGTGGGGTTGTCACATACTCCCTGGTGTCTTCTATGTGCCAGGGACTAGCTTGGAATCTATCTGTGACTGTCATCAAATTCTGGCTTCACCAGCTATGGCTGCTGCCCCTGTGGGGAAGCAAAAGTCCTCACCCTCAGCCCAGGCTTCCCTGACCGGGGCCCAGCCCCTACTGTTGGCTGCAGCCTAGTGTCTCTCAGCCACAGGTGCTGTGGTCGCCTGGCTGGCGCCAGGTTGCAAAGGGATGCCTGGAGCAACTGTCTAGGTTGCCAGGCTGCCTGCCTTGTAAACAGGCCCTCCCTGGGTCTGCTTGCTGTTGTCCAGGCATGGCCAGCAGAGGCAGATCACCTTTATCTCCTGCCCCAGGAGGGCGTGGGCACAGGCATTATGCCAGGGTCCCTTCCTGGGACTTACTTAGAGCTAGATCTCTAAACCCCTTGTCTGGGGTTCCCTATGGTTGCCGTGGGTCCATGAGTTTAAGCTGGTGGCCAACCAGTACCCTCCCACTCTTCCCTCCTGCCAGAGGTCCAGAGCTTCCTCCTACCCTGTTCCAGGAGAGCAGCACTGGTCTCCTGGGTCTGGAGGGAGTCTGGCAGGGCTTCTGGTGTAGAGAGCCTGGCTCACTCCAAGGACTGGTCCTTCTCAAGTCTCACTGCACCACAGTGGAGCCCAATGAAGACACTTAGGCCCTGTGGTCAGACTCATGATTGGGAATGGTTTTCGTTTTTCTATTGACATGAAATTCCCATAACCTGAGGCTTGATTTCAGGGCTTCAAACATTTGCTAGGCAGGTGCTCTATCACTTGATCTACTCCGTACCATAACCTTTTAAAATGTAAAATTTGGTGGCATTTATCATCTTCAGTGTTGTGTAACTGTGACCTTTATCTAGCTCCAAAACACTGTCATCACCCCAAAAGGAAAGCATATACCACTAAGCACTCACTTCCCATTCCTGCCTTCTCTCTCACCTTCTCCAGAAAGCAAGTGTGCTTTCTGACATGGATTTACCTCTTGTGAATGTTGCATGTGAGTGGAGGCTTCTGACATTCATCCAGGTTGCATCACAGGTATCAAGACTTTATTCCTTCCCATGGTTGACCAGTGGTCTGTTTCATGTATGCCATATTTGTTTAGCTATTCATCAGTTGATGTGCATCTGGGGCCTTGGTAATTGTGAATAATATGGTTGTGCTTTTTTTTTTTTTTTTTTTGAGATGGTGTCTTGCTGTGTTGCCCAGGCTGGTCTCAAACTTCTGGGCTTCAGCCTTCTTCCCACCTCAGCCTGAGAATTTGACAGTGTAGACACATGCCATCATGCTGGCTCTCTGCTGTGAATATTTGCACACAAGTCTGTCTTTGAATACCTGCTTACAGTTCCTTTGGGGACATACCTAGAGTGGAGTTGCTCTGTTAAATGATAATCCTATTTTGTATTTTTTTTGTTTTGTTTCATTTTGTTTTGTTTGGTGGGACTGAGGTTTGAACTCAGGGATTTATGCTTGCAAACCAGGTGCTCTACCGCTTGAGCACACCTCCAGTCCATTTTGCTCTAGTTATTTTGCAGATGGGGTCTCTTGAACTATTTGCTCATCTGGCCTAGAACTATGATCCTCCTGATCTCAAGTGGCTGGGATTACAAGCGTGAGCCACCTGCACCAGCTCTATGTTGAACTTTTTGAAGAACGGCCATGGTGTTTTCTACAGTGGTTGCATTACAGTCCCACTAGTGCAGTGTATGGTCTGATTTCTCCACATCTTCGCCAACTACTTGTTATCTCTCTTCTCCTGTTTTCCCACTTTTTTTTTTTTGGTTTTAAATTATGGTCTGCCTAGTGGGTATGAAATGGTATATTGTAGTGGATTTGATTTGAATTTCCCCAATGACAGGATATTGAGCATTCTGGGATTTATTTTTTGTACTGGGGATTGAACTCAGGGCCTTGTGCATGTGGTTCTTCTAATCATATGTAGTTCTATCATGTGAGCCACACCCCAGTCCTTTTGCTTTCAGTTTGGTTTTCAGATACGGTCTCAAGATTTTGCCTAGATTGGTCTCAGACCTCCATCCTTCTACATCCACTCTGGAGTAGCTGGAATTATGGCTGTGATCTACCATGCTCAGCTTGTTTTTGAGATTGGGTTTTGCAAACTTTTGTCCTGGCTGGGTTTGAGCATCTTTTCATGTTCTTTTTGGCCACTTGTGTATCTTCTTTGGAGAGTAGTCTCATTTTGAATTGGGTTGCTTATCTTTTTATTGAGTTAAAAGAGTTATGTATGTTCTCTGGATACTGGGTCCTTATACATAATGTGTAAATTCTCATTCTCATTCTGTAGGTTGTTCTTTTGCTCTTTGAAGGCTGTGCTCCACCTGTGTGACCCAGAAGGGTTTGAATGAGTGCCCTTCCACCTTAGCTGGACTAGGTCATCTAGGACGTTCTCCTGTCGACCCTTCCTCCTCCTCTCCTACTGGACACTTAGCTTCCTGAGTACTCAACCTCTGTCCCTGATCCTTGATCATCCCCTACCAAGTCTTCAGAGTGGGCTGGGTAGGCAGGGCCCAGCAGCACTTCCAGAGTGATTCTGTGGCTCCCCAAAAGAATGTGGGGGTGTCATGGAGCAGAGGGAAAGATTGTGGGGACACAGGCTCAAACAAAAGCATCCACCAGGTGCCACCACTCATGCCTGATTTCTTCCTTTGTCTTGCAGATGAAGATGTGTGTGTGTTCAAGTGCTCCGTGTCCCGAGAGACAGAGTGCAGCCGTGTGGGCAGGCAGTCCTTCATTGTCACCCTGGGCTGCAACAGTGTCCTCATTCAGTTTGCCACACCCAACGGTATGTGTCAGGTGTGGTGGGCAGGTGGGGTCCCAGAGCCCTGCAAGTGTCAAGAATCACAGCCCTGGCTGGATGCAATGGTGCGCGCCCCTAGGCGCAGCTTCTGGGGAGGCTGAGAGAGGAGGATTGCTGAGTTCAAGACCAGCCTGGGCTGCATAGCCAGACCCTGTCTCAAAAAGAAAAAAAAAAGTCATAGCTCCAGCCCAGGGACTCAGGAGGCTGAGATGGTCATCACTTGAGCCCAGGAGTTTGAGGCTAGCAACATAACAAGACCCCATCTCAAAAAATAAAAAAGAAAGAAAAGAAGAAAAAAATGATAGTCCCATGTGGAAACATGTTCTCAGAAAGACCTTTTTGCTGATCAGAGCAAATGTTCTGCTGTGATCTGCTTGCACTGGTTCTTTTATGTCCATTCCCCCAAGAGGCCTGTCCTGACTGCCTTCCTGATGGTAGCCAGCCCAGAGCACACTGTGGCTGGATTGAAGGGGAGGAAGTGAGACAAGATTCTAGAGGCAGGCAGGGGCTTTGTTCTGGCTACTGAGAGAAACCACTGGAAGTCTGTAAGCCAACCTTTCTGGGGTTTGAGAAAACACACAAGATCCCTGAAGAGGGCTTCTAGGGCCTGGTGAGCGCATGATTGGGAGTGCTGGTGGCCAGGCCTGAGACCCTGTGAAGATCCTGGGACAGATCCTGATGAATGAGAGCAGAAGTGAACCTGGTGATTGGGACAGGAGCTGAGGCTGCCTGCCTGCTTCCCCTGGGGCACCTCACTGTTTCAGCCTAAAGATGATCCTGTGGGCCACTTGGTCTCCTGCACAGCAGCAGTGGGGGGAAGGTGATGCAAAAGACCAGGGTGGGGTGTCACATCCCTGTCAGAGGTGCCCTGCATCTATTTCTTTCTTTCCTTTTTTTTTTTTTTTTTTTTTTGAGAGAGGGTCTTACTTACGTAGTCCAGTTTGGCCTGGAATTCCTTATCTTCCTACCTCAGGCTCCTCAGTGCTGAGATTACAAATGTATACAACCCACACCTGAATTTTTTTTTTTTTTTTCTTTTTGTGGTACTGGGGTTTGAATCAGGGTCTGAGGTTGCTAGCACTTAAATAGAGGCTCACATTTATGCTTAGGTCAGGCGTGGACCTTGATCCTCTTATTTACACTTTTCTGGTAGCTGGGATGACAGGTGTGTGCCACCATGCCCAGCTTTTATATTGGTTGAGATGGGTGACTCAGAACTGTTTGCCTAGACACCTCAAACTGTGATCCTCTGCCTCCCAGTTAGCTAGGATTACAGGTGTGCAGTAAGTCCCCCCTTTCATAAAGTTTTTTAAAAATGTATTTTTTGTTTTTCATTGGCAAAGTAGTTGTACATATTCATGGGAGGAGGTAAACTTTACCAAAAGTATGTATGTAGAGGGAAAAAAACAGGATTTACAAGTCTACAAGTTTCAGGCATCTGAGGCACATCTTAGAATGTGTTCTGCAGGGAACTACTGTAATCTATTGCCTTTTTTTTTTTTTTTTTTTTTTTTTTTTTTTTGTGGTACTGGGGTTTGAACTCCACCAGCCCTTTTTTTGTGATGGGTGTTTTCAAGGTAGGGTCTGGCTGGCTTCGAGCCATGATCCTCCTGATCTCTGCCAGCTGAGTAGCTAGGATTACAGATGAGAGCCACCGGCATTCAGTGCCATTTTTTTTTTTTTTTTTTTGGTGGAATTGGGGTTTGAACTCAGGGCTTCTTCCTGCTTACAAAGCAGCTACTCTACCCCTTGAGCCACACTGCCAGTCCATTTTCCTGTGGTTATTTTGAAGATGGATTCTCAGGAACTATTTGCTGAGGCTGGCCTCAAACCCTACTGTGATCTTCCCCATCTCAACCTCCCAAATAGCTAGGATTACAGGCATAAGCCACCAGCATCTGGCTGTATTCTTTGTTTAATGAAAGAGTTGTCGGATATGGTAGTACACGTCTGTAATCTCCCAGCACTGGGGAGTTTGAGGCAGTAGGATCATGAGTTACTATCTCTTAAAAAATTTTTTTTCAGAGGGTGATTTGGATACAGGAACAGACATGCACATTGGGACCATAGAAACAGAGACTAGCCATGCTGCTGCAAGTCAAGGGATGTCAGTGACTGCTAGCAAGCCAGGTGTGGTAGCATATGTCACTTGGGAGGCTAAGGCAGGAGGGTTGTGAGTTTGACACCAGCCAACTTCCAGATATAGCCATTAACAGTGTTATTAAAAAATCTTTTTTGGGTTTGGTTTTGTTTTTGCTGTTCTGGGGATTGAAAGCCAGGACCTTGTGTGCCAGGCAAATGTTCTATTACTGAACCACAACCCCAGTCCCTTCTAGTTTTTTTCCTACTCTATGATTGCTTATATTTTAAAGTTCTTTTGAACATTTTTGTTTGTGTGGGTTTTTTGTTTTTGTTTTTTTTTTTTTAGTGTTGGATTTGAACTCAGGGCCTTATGCTTGCTGAGCAGGTGCTCTACTACTTTTCAAGATAAGGTCTCACAAACTGTTTGCCTGGGCTGGTGTCAAACCACAATCCTCCTGATCTCTGCCTCCTGAGTTGCTAGGATGCCTGGCTCCATCTGACTTTTCTACCTCAAAACTGTGTGACTTGGTGACTTTTCTCCGCAAACAATGTTCACATTTAGAAGAAAAGGAAAAAGGCAGCCAAGACTGCCACTTGGTGACCCACATGAGGACATGTCAGGGTTCCCTGTCCTGCAGGGTGGTATCAAGTGGGAACAGTCCTGGACACTTCCTCACAAAGACCAGCGTGGCAGAGCTGTGAAGGGTACAGGCCACTGATCTGGGCATCAAACCTCTAGCACTCCCATGTAGACCCAGAATGGGATGGTGGTATCTGTGTGGAAGTGGACAGGAGGGCCACCTCAAGTGTCCAGATGCTGAGAAAACGTCAGGGAACCCACCACCACCCTGCCCCAGCATGCAAAGTTATGTGGCCTTTCACAATGAACTTATTTATACACAAAAGTTATTTACTAACTCAGAATGATGACCACTAAATTATGTCAAGTAAAACAGCACTTATAAAACTGCCTTTTTTTTTTTTTTTGGCAGCACTGGGAATTGAACTCAGTGCCTCAGCCCCAGTACCACCAAAAAAAAAGAAAAAAGTCAGGTGGGCCACCTGAGAGACAAAAAGCCCCAGGCCCCGTAAGGTCTCCCTAGATGGCTGTAGCACTGGCATCCTAGGGCAGGCCATTGACTACTCCCAAGTGACCTGGCGTCCCCATTCCAGATTTCTGTTCTTTCTACAACATCCTGAAAACCTGTCGTGGACACACACTGGAGCGGTCAGTGTTCAGTGAGCGGACCGAGGAGTCCTCAGCTGTGCAGTACTTCCAGGTAGGTTGGTTCCCACCCTGGGCCAGGCCTCCACCTGGCCCTTGTCTCCCTTCCTGCCCACAGGAGGTGGCGCAGCACCAGGCAGGTCCACTTGCGTGCCCATGCTGGCTCTATCCCTTACTAGCTGTGTAGCCTTGGGCAGGTGCCCTCTACTTGCTGGGCCTCAGTTTCCTCATCTGTGACACCTGAGAGGGTTGCTGGAAGGATCTGAGTGCGGGTGAAGCCAGGTCCCCTGACATTTTGAGTAATGACAGAACTGTAGCAATGTCCTGAACTGTCACTGTGTGCCAGGCACAGTCTAAGCACTCTTACATGCCTGAAGCACTTGGACCCTCCTAACAGCTCGAGGAGGTAAGTGCTGTTATTGTCCCCATTTTACAGATGAGAAACTGAGGCTCAGAGAGGTTAAGTGACTTGGTCCAAGTCACACAGCTCTTATGCAACAGAGCCAAGATGGGAAGCCAGGTCTGCCTGATGCCAAAGCCTGTGGCCCTGCCCGGGTGCCACGCTGCCTCCCGATCGCCTGTTGTCTTACAGAGAGACACCGCACCTCACCTGCCTGGCGCTCTGAGCTCTGGGGTTCTGTTCCATCCATTCTTCCTCTTTGGGGCCCCTAAGATGGGGCAGGTGGCCCCAGATGCGAAAACCCCACCCTTGGCAAATTTTGCTGTTTTCTGGGCAGCTTCCTCATCAAGGCTGCATCCAGCTGTGTCCTTCTGCCACAGTGATGGTGGCATTGTCCCCTCTGGGGACTGCCATTCAGTCCCCTGCTCCCTCTCCTGGAGCAGCTGGCAAATGCTGGCGGGGTCCAGGCCAGCAGAGGGTGCGCGGCCTCCTGAGGGAAGTTTATGCCTGAGTCAGCCCCCACCTCTGTTGGAGGGCAGGCTAGGACCTTGGCCTTCTGTCACGCCGTGTGCCCTGTGCCATTGGTGTGTCTCTGTTCCAGTTTTATGGCTACCTGTCCCAGCAGCAGAACATGATGCAGGACTACGTACGGACAGGCACCTACCAGCGTGCGATACTGCAGAACCACACCGACTTCAAGGATAAGGTGAGCAGGGCCTCACCCCTATGCTGGGCCAGGCAGTGCAGGGAGGTTGCCATGGATCTAGAGACTGGCGAGCAGTTTTGCCCCTTTCCTCAGGCACTAGACCCACCTCCCCATTCCCTTGCCTTTACTCCCCCCACCCCTGCTTTTGCTCGAGTTTTTCTTTAATTTCTTTCTGATTACAAAAGCAAAATCTACCCGGTAGAGTGGCTCAGGTGGTAGAATGTCTGCCTAGCAAGCGCAAAGCCCTGAATTCAAACCCCAGTACTGCTAAAAAAACAAAAAACTAAACAAAAGCAAAGTCTCTTTACTATGTAAACTCAACATAACATGTACAATATCACCATGTGAGACCTGTCTTTTCCCTCCAAAATAATTGCCTCCAATCGTCTGTCTTTTCTTCCAGATTCTTCCCCATGTATGCCTCAGTAAAATTATTTCACTGTGTCTTTTTCTTGAGGGGTGGGTACTGGGGTTTGAACTCTGGGCTTTGCACTTGCTAGGCAGGTGCTCCATCACTTGGACGGGCCATGCCCCCAGCTCCCCCCTTTTTCTAATCAACAAAATTGGATCTATTCTATATGCTTCTTTGGAAAAGATTTTACCCCCTTAATGATATGTCTCAGCTTTATTGACAAATAAAAGAGTTGTATATACTGGGATTGGGAAGGTAGCTCAGTTGTGACTGCTTGCCTAGCTTCCATGACTGTTCGTTCCATCCCCAGAACCACAAAAACAAAGAAAGAGAAATTAATGTCATGTTGTATATACCTAAGGTGATGTTTTGACATGTGTGTGTTTGATATAAAATGGTCACTACAATCAACATAATTAACATGCTTTACCGCACTTAGTTTTTGGTTTTATTTAATAGTGATAATGCAGGGAAAGCAGTGTCTCCTTTTTTTTTTTTAATCCTGCCTACATGCCACACTGAATACAGAAAACTTGCAGAGGTGGGGGATTCTTCCAACCAGCAAGTGGTTTCACAACAGCAGGCACCAGCTTGATGTCCTCGGGATGTCCTCTGATCCGATTCAGTCCTCACACCCCTACCCAGAGAGCATGTCAGATCCCACAGTTTGGGGGCTCCGTCCCTGGCCTATTCCCCACACCTTAGATGCCATTTGCCAGCCCCAGATGGTTTTCCCTGTGCTTCTGACTGACTGCCTCTAAGTTGGGGTTCCCATAACCCCCTCTTTGGGCTTGATTAATTGGCCCGAATAGCTCCCACACCTCAGGGAAGCACATTTCCTGCTTGATTACAAAGGATTAAAAGAGCACAGATGAAGGTGGGTGCTGGTGGCTCACGCCTATGATTCTAGCTACTCATGGGGCAGTGATCAGAAGGATTGAAAGTCAAAGCCAGCCCAGGCAAATAATTCATGAGACCCTATCTAGAAAATATCTATCACAAAAAATGGCTGGCAGAGTGGCTCAAGTGGCAGAGCGCCTGCTTGGTAAGCATGAGGCCCTAGTTCAGTGATACCAAAAAAAAAAAAAAAAACCAATACAGATGAAGAGATGCCCAGGGGAAGCATGAGGGGTACCACTCTGCAGGAACCTCTCTCTGCACCCTGTCTTTTTTGGCTTTTTATGAAGGCTTCCTTGCATACCTAATGTTAATAGACCGTGTGGGAAAACCAGCAAGGCTTGTCTCTTCAGATTCTCTCTCTCTCTTTTTTTTTTTTTAAAGGTACTGGGCTTTGAACTCAAGGCCCACACCTTGAGCCACTCCACCAGTCCTTTTTATGTGAAAGGGTGTTGTGAACTATTTCCCCAGACTGGCTTTGAACCGTGATCCTCCTGAACTCTGCCTCCTGAGTAGCTAGGATTACAGGCGTGAGCCATCGGCATCTGACTTGAAATAGGCTTTGTGTAAGATGCTTTTCCTAACTGTAGGCGCATACATGATTAAGGTTGGCCAGGCTAACCTAGGATGCTGGTAGGTCAGATGGATTACGTGCATTTCCTGCTTATAAGGCTGCAACCCACTGTGAGGCGAGGAGTATGCATGTGTTGCACAGAGGAAAGAGACCCCTTCTAGTCACCTGGCCCAGCGTATGCCTTCCCTTTGAATCAGTCAGGAACATGTGTTTCCCCTCAGCCTATCTCATGGGGCTCTTCATGTGGATCTCGGGGGATCTGCCTCATGCAATGCTATTGTCCTGCCCCACACCCTCCCCCCAGCATTGCCTACTGATCCCAAGGACACTGGGCCCCAGGCCATGGTGGAAGTAGTCCTCATGCAGTGGCTATTGTAGGCCTTGCTGGCTGTCCTTGCTGGACCTCCCCAAGCTTCCTGACTGCTACCCTGAGTTATGGCTGGACAGTGCTTGGGGCCCTCACATTGCAAGCTCTTTCAGTGACATCCCTTCTGGCTCTCCCAGAAACAAGATCCATTTCCTGGTCCATCCACAGCTCTGAGAAGCAGCTGAGGTCCTCCCACTGGATGGTCACTCTGTGCCTGCCACTGTGCCTAGAGTATTTCTCCTTAAGAGACCTCACATACCACTCCAGAAACATTTGTCCTCATCCTACTTACACGGAAGCAACTGCATAGATCTGGAACATCCAGTGTTCTGCCAGCAGCTTTGGGGGAGCCCAGTAGACAAGACTTGGGCCCCTTGCCTGCCCCAGCCAGGCACTGACTGCCTCTCAGGGAAGGAGTCAACCCAGGCCCTCCTGAGCATGCTGCCTCCAACATCCCTAGGCCCCTTGCTTCCCTGCAAGAGCCACAAAGGCAGACAGCCCTCAGTGCCACACAGGCTTCTTGGGAGGCCCATATCCTGTGCCCCAGATGGTCCAGCCACCTGTAGGCCACGGGACTGAAGCTGAGTGGGAGCCTCTGGGGCACCTCCTTCCAGAGCCCATGGAGGTGGATACTGAGGACAGGGTGTAGTTGTCACTGAGAGGTGGCTCTGCCATTGTGCCCTGAAGCTGGGCATGGACAATGAGTACCCAGTGATGAGTATTTCTTCCAGTAGCCATCTGACTCTCATCACCCGCTCGCAGGTCCTCCTGTTTTTTTTTTTTTTTTTTTTGAGGGTGATAATTTAAACTGTTTTTTTTGGTGATACTGTGGTTTGAACTCAGGGCCTCATGCTTGCTAGGCAGACACTCTACCAGTTGAGCCACTCTGCCAGCCCTTTCTGTGTTGGATATTTTTGAGATAGGGTCTCATGAGCTATTTGCCTGGGCTGGCTTCCAACCAAAATCCTCCTAATCTCTACCTCCCGAGTAGCTAGGATTATAGGTGTGAGCCACTGGTGCCTGGCTAAACTTTTTTTTTTTTTTTTTTCCAGTACTGGGGTTTGAACTCTGCATACAATTTGAGCCACTATCTGCCCTTTTTTGTGAAGGGTTTTTTCGATATAGGGTCTCACAAACTATTTGCCTGGGGCTGGCTTGGAACTGTGATTCTCCTGATCTCTGCCTCCTGAGTAGCTAGGATTACAGGTGTGAACCTCCAGTGCCCAGCTTAAACATTTTTTTAATTGTACATATTTATGGGGTCCAGTGTGGCATTTCTATACCTGTGTGCAGTGTGTACTGATCAGATCAGGATAACTGGCTATTCATCACCTCAGACACCTGTCCTTTCCTCAGATTGTTCTCGATGTTGGCTGTGGCTCTGGGATTCTGTCATTTTTCGCAGCCCAAGCTGGAGCCAGGAAAATCTATGCAGTGGAGGCCAGTACCATGGCCCAGCATGCTGAGGTCAGTGTCTGTCATCTCTGCCCACTGGGAGCCCCCAGGAAACCTGATCTTTGGGCCCAAGAGGGGCCTGTGGATGTCACACAGTTATGCTTTGTTCCTAAAATCAGTGACCATTGGCGGGAGGCCTTGCTGGGCCTGAAGTGACCTCCCCTCTGTGATTAGCCACATATCCACAAAGCTATGGCCTCATGCCTCAGGCTGGACCATGATGTCACACAGACTCAGGCAGGACCTCCTGGGTGACATCTGAGCCACTGTGCAAGAGTGCCACCCTTTCTGAGCCTGCTCCCACTTGTCCAGTGCAGATCAGAGGGGTATTTTGTTTTGTGAACTTGTTTTGTTACTTCCTTTTCCTATTTTATTCCATCAAAACCTTCTTTTGCAAAGTTGAAAATCTAAAATCTACGAAAGGGTAAACATTGAAAATGCTTCTCTCTTGCACCCCTCCTCCACCCCGGTCCCTCCCCCAGGAGATTCCCCAGGTCCCCCAGACTGTTCTGTGCACATGCAAGTAAGCGTGTTTGCCCTGCTGCCCATCTCTTGCACACATGGAGGCACACTACCACCTTGCTCCTGGCTTTGCCCCATACGGCAGACCTATGTGGTGTCCTATGGAGACCCTTCCCTGCCTCTTCTGTAGCCACAATGCTTCCTCCACCTGAGCTGCGTTCAGGCTCTTAAGGCATTGACTTATGCTGGTCATAAGCACTGTGGCACTGAGCTCCCTTTCCCACAGACCACTTCCCCGTGGGTGGTCAAGTGTGAAGGATGAGCTCCCAGTACTGGAGTCTCTGAGGATGGGGGGGGGTCCAGTTCCAGCTTTGGTGACTGTTGTGAAGGTGACTCATCCCAGTCTCTACTCCCACCAGCAGCTGTCCTTGTAGGGTGGGAGAGGACAGGGATGCTGTCACCCCAAGACGGCTGGGCTGCAGGGAACACCTAACAGGCCCACACTCCTCCCCCTGTGGTTAGGATGTCCATGGAGGAGGCAGGGGCACCGGTGGCCAGGTGTGGACAGAGCCCCTCCCTTGAGAGGAAAGGTCTGGTGAGAGCACAAGGCAGGGAGGCTCAGGGAAGCTCTGTGACCTATCCGACCCACCTGTCTGCAGGTCTTAGTGAAGAGTAATAACCTGACCGACCGCATCGTGGTCATCCCTGGCAAAGTAGAGGAGGTCTCGCTCCCTGAGCAGGTGGACATCATCATCTCGGAGCCCATGGGCTACATGCTCTTCAATGAGCGCATGCTCGAGAGCTACCTCCATGCCAAGAAATACCTGAAGCCCAGCGGTGAGTGTCCCACCACACAGGGAAGGCCGTGCCTGGAGGCCGTGTGGGCAGCTGCTGCACAGGGGCTGTCTACACTGCAGGCTGCCATGAAGCTAGCCCAAAGGTGGCTCAGCTCCCCACTTGACTGTGTCAGTTCCCAGGTAGCCTTTACCTCACTCCCTGCCCTCCCTTCCCTAGCTGGCTGTGGCTTCCAGATTCCCAGGCCTCAGACAACACATCCACCTACCTGGCTGGGCTGAGGGTGGGGGCAGAACTCCTTGCAGCCCCAGAGAGCCACTGGTGTTTCCTGAGGGGCTTCAGTACTAGGATTGGGACCTCACTGTGAGCAGGCACTCTGGTGGGCCTGCTCCCCTCAGAGGTCAGGAGATGGATGGGGGTGTGTGTGTACGTGTGCATGCGTGTGTGTGTGCGCGTGCGCGTAAGGACATGGTTGTGTGGAGGGCACGGGAGTGTGTGTATGTGTGTGGGTGGAGGGTGTATGGGCAGATGAGGACGTGGGGGGGCGTGCATGTGTGAGGGCTTGTATGTGTATGCTTGTGAGGACTTCTGAGTATGTATATAAGGGCGTGTGTGTGCACGTGTGTGTGTGAGGACTTGTCGGTGTGCACTTGTGAGGGCTTGTGGGTGTGTATACATGTGTAAGGGCATGTGTGTATGTGAGTGTGTATGTGCACCTGCCTATGTGTGAGTAGGGGAGGCAACTATCTGAGAGCCCATCTGCCATTTCTTGTCTATGTCTCTGGCTTGATGGTTCCATGCCTCTTGGCCCAAGCCTGAGTCACCAGGTAGCTGTTTGCATCAGCTCATCTTTATGGGGAGCTATACTCTTCCCAAACCCCTGCAGTGCTGCCCTATTTCTCTGCTGGGTTCTGGAGACCTGTCCATGTCTGAATATTTCTATACAGGCAAGGAGGGGTGTGGGGGGGGTGGGAGCATAACCACGGTGGCACTTTGGAAGAGGCAAACTGGCAGCAGTGCAGGACAGGCTCTCTGGGTCTGTGGGGAAACTTGCATTTGGGTCCTCTTCCTAGGAACCTGCCTTGCGCTCTTGCTTTTCTGGAGGTGGATGTGGTCACCATCCCCTTTATTTGTGTCCTGAGTCTTGGGTGTTAGTTTGGGACTCAAGGCTTCCCAGGTCCTGCTTTCCTCACATTTTGCCTATTGTGTCTAAGCCTACAGGGTGGAGTATAGCAGTCCCAGCAGAGGGGCCTCTCATGGATGGGAAGCCCAGAGGGAGTCAGGCTTGGGGGACAGCTATTCTGTGAGGCGTGCAGGCAGCCCTCCCCTAGCCACACACCTCTTGGCTGGCAGGAAATGGAGGTGCCTTCCCTGTTGGACACATTCCTGTGGTACTTCAAATCCCCCAGAGCAGGTGGCCAGCATGTGGCCTCTGAGCCAGAGCCAAGGGCTCTGCCACCCCAGCAGCTTCTGCTGATTATTTCTAGCCTGATGGGGGCTGTGAGGAAGTGCCTCAGCCCCCTGCACAGAGGGCTAGAAAGGCAGGAGGCCCACATCTGAAGGCCAGGTGCTCCCCGAGCAGGTGTGGCCTCCATCGCCCTGCTGTTCTTGTCTGTTTGTTCATGAGTCACGAATGAATGCCCAAGTTCTCCTCCCTTTTCAAGTTACATGCCAGCCAGGTTGACCAAGCAGCCTGTGCTTTCACCCTAGTGTTTTGGCCAGAACCTGGGAAGCCCGGGCGATGGGAATTCAGCTGAACTCCATCCCACCTGTGCCCCCTCACTTTGTGCAGAGCAGCCCTGTCCAGTTTTCCCCTGTGCACTGAGCTGTGTGTACACAGGTGGTGGATGGCACCTGAGGGCACTGCCTGGCATCTTGGGTACCCTCTGTTCATGATGAGGCTCTGCACTCCTTCCTGTTTCTCAGCCCTAGTAAGGGGACATAGGGACAGACCTCCTGGGACTCAGTGAAGGACAGTAGCTTCCCCAGCACTCTGCACACAGTGGGACATGTGAATTGTTAGTGAGCTTATTTGATTAACTGATTTTACTTACTGAGACTTTTGAATTGCTACATAGATCCATGGTTCAAAAATCAAGAATAGCCAGGTGCTGGTGGCTCATACACCTATAATCTGAGCTGCTCAGGAGGCAGAGATCAGGAGGATCACAGTTCAGAGCCAACCCCAGGCAAATAGAGAGACCCTATCTCAACAAAACCTTCACAAAAAAGAGCTAGTAGAGTGACTCAAGGTGAAGGCCCTGAGTTCAAACCCCAATACCACACAAAAAAAGACAAAAACCAAGAGTAAAAGAGAAGAGCCTCCCACCCCAGTCCCATTCAGTGCGATGGTGCAGGTCAAGGGCTCCTGCCCAAGGCCCACTAACATCAGGTGCTCCACACTGGTCACGTGAATGAGTGAACAAGAGGCTGGAAAGTCCATAGTTGGGGTCTTGGGGCCTTCTGGAATCTCTGCCTGGCCCTGCACGATGTGCCTCCCTGACGCCAGCACCCCTCCCTGCCCCCCACTCCCAGGAAACATGTTCCCCACCATTGGTGACGTCCACCTCGCACCCTTCACGGATGAACAGCTCTACATGGAGCAGTTCACCAAGGCCAACTTCTGGTGAGTGCACCCTGGGTGTCCTGCTCGGGCCCCCATGGCCTGCCTGCTCGGGGATGGCCCCCAGCCCCCAGGTGGCCCCACCACTCCTCTTTTTCTCCTCATCCTCAGTAGGACCTGAAGGACATGGGCTGGTCAAGGGCCAGCTAGGAGAGAAGGCAGGACTAACTATCCCATCTGCCTCTCTTGCTGCTGGTGACACTGTTGGCGGGGGTGGGGCTTTCTGCAGGTACCAGCCATCCTTCCATGGAGTGGATCTGTCAGCCCTTCGAGGTGCCGCTGTGGATGAGTATTTCCGGCAGCCTGTGGTGGTGAGTAGGGCACACAGGACACTGGGGCATTACTGTGGGGCATGGCTCTTCTCAGGGGAGGCATGGCTTCATCTGTAGGACTTGTCCAAGCTGTGCAGTCCTAAGAAATTCACTTCACCCTTGCTTTTGCCCAGCACTGAGCTCTCTCTCAGAGGTGTTGAGGCTAAAGTAACTTATTCGGCAAACCTTTAGTATATACGACGTGTGAACTATTAATAGGTGGTTTGATACTGGGTGAGCTGATTTGATGGTTGATTTCACTTACTGAGATTTTTTTTTTTTAATTGATACATAAACCATGACTATAAAAGAAACAGTCGTACCTGTAATCCCAGCACTTGGGAAGTAGAGGCAGGAGGATTTCAAGTTCCAGGCCAGTTTGGCTACATAGCAAAACCCTGTGACAAACAAACAAAAAAGAGTATAAGAGAGCCAGCACTGGTAGCTCATGCCTGTAATCCTAGCTACTCAGGAAGATCACAGTTCAAAGGCAGCCCCAGGCAAATAGTTCCTGAGACTCTATCTCAAAAAAATACCCAACACAAAACAGGGTTAATGGAACGGCTCAAGTGGTAGAGCAGCTGCCTAGAAAGTGTGAGTGAGGCCCTGAGTTCAAAACACAGTACTGCCCAAAAACAAAAAAAAGAGTACAAAAGAGCAAGAGCCTCCCCACCTCTGTCCCCAACTGCACAGTTCCCTTCCTTATAGGCAAACAGTATCTCTTACTGTCTTTCCAAAAGACATCTAAATGTATTTTTTGACTACTTTTCCTCATAAAATAGATTGTGATCAACATACTCTCTGTCTTAATTTCTTCGTGGTTAGAGAACATACAATTTGCTTTTCCTATGGATAACATATTGTGGGCTTATTTTTCCATTTTTATGATCGGCTTTGCTTTACAGATTTCGACATTGTGTTATTAGATGCATACAGGGGCTAGGATTATTATATCTTCTGTTGGATTGATCCTCATGTCATTATAAAATGTTTCTTTTTAAGCTGGGTGCTGGTGGCTCATGCCTGTAATTCTAGCTACTCAGGAGGTGGAGTTCAGGAGGATCTCGGTTTGAAGCCAGTCTGGGCAAATAATACCAACACAAAAAAGGACTGGTGGAGTGGCTCAAGGTGTAGGCCCTGAGTTCAAACCCAAGTACCACAAAGAAAAAAAAAAGTTTCTTTTTTAATATCTGTTTTTGTTTCTTGCCTTAAAGTCTTTTTTTTTTTTTTTGGCGGTGCCAGGGATGGAACCCAGGGTCCTGCACTATGCTAGGCAAGTGCTGTACCACTGAGCTCCTGAGCTACACCCTCAACCCTTTTTAAAACATGTATCCCATATGTCTCTGGTCACCTTCACTATCTGGCACAGTGGTAGATGTGCTTCTTTGGTTTATTCACTTGGTTTGGGGTCCTGGTCCTGTGGGCTAGTCTCTTGTTTCATTCATTGTCAGTATGAAAAGTGACAGAGCTTCTGCAAGGCACTCTCCTTCCCAGGAGTTGCTCATGGGGCAGTCAGCCTTATGCACGATCACCTTGGTCCCATGGGGCATTGAGATATGGAGAGACTGCTTTTCTGACTATTTAGATGGCCTCTTTCGTAACTTCCCTATAGGACAGCAGTTCACAAACACTTCGGCTTCAGGTCCTCTTTATGATCCTAAAAATGGAGGATCCTAAAGAGCTTTTGTTTATGTATGTTCTCTATATTGCTATCTGAGCAATATACATTGATAGTAAAAACTAAACTCAAAAAATTATGAAATATGGGGGATGGATAAAAAAGAAGGAAAAAATATGTATTTATTGATTCATTTAAAAAAATAAAAGGCAGGTGGCACACACTTATAATCCCAGCTACTCAGGAGGCAGAGACAGGAAGATTGTAGTCTGAGGCCATCCCAGGCACAGTTAGCTCAAGACCCCATCTGAAAAACAATCCAAAGCAAAAGGGCCTGGATCAAGTGGTACAGCATTTGCCTGGTAAGCATGAGCCCTGAGTTCAGTCATTAGTACTGCAAAAATAAATAAGTACATGAATAAATCCCATTACATGTTAACATAACTAGTATTGGTTTTGGTATTTTGAAATAGGTTCTTGGGCTGGAGGTGTGGCTTAAGCAGTAAGAGTGTGTGCTTTGCAAGAGCAATGCTCTGAGTTCAAACCCAGTCCTACCAAAAAAAAAAAACAAAAACAAAAAGCAAATGAGTGAGAGACTGAAAGCATCTCAACATTACTATGAAAATTGTCTTGACCTTGATGGTGCCCCAGACAGGAACACACTTTGAGAACTGCTGCTTTGGGGCTTAGCCTTCAGTAGTGTTGGTGCAGGTCTCCTAGCTGCCTAGGATGCATGCATCATCAGTATGCTTAACTTTTTAGTTTCTTGGGGGAGGTTTTCTGCTTGGATACTTGGCCTCTAAGCCCCAGTCCACAGAAAGCTTAGGAACTGGCCAATGCCACCTCACTTTTCTGACTTCCCTTTGCTTTCCTGTCCTTTACCAGCCTTGAGCTCCCTCCCTCGCCCCGTTTTTCAGGAGGGCTATCCAAAGGCCGAGGTAGCTATTTTTTTGCCTTCCCCGGGGGGAAAAAGGTGAAGGCCAAAAAGGTTTCCCTTCTGTGCCTCTCCTTTCTCTCTAAGACCTTGGCACCCCAAGATTTGGCTGCTGGGATTGCTCCCTAGTGCTTTCACCAGTCAGTTTACTTTTTGTCTAACTCTTGGCAAGAGCCTCAGTATCACAGCACATCTTCCATCAACACCCAGTTCTCTGATTTGCTTCTTTTGCTAACTTGCTTACAATTTTTCTCGGAGAGCTTCCCCTCCAGTACCTCAGTCTCGCTCTGTCTCATGTACACAGTTATTTTGGATGACCCATTGTGGTTTAATTAGACAGTGAGTTCCCACTGTGTGTCTATAGGTTAAAATCCCAGAAATGCAATGGCCAAAGTTTGGTTTTGGGCGTGGGGATTTCTTTGTTTTGCAGTATAGGAGGTTGAATCAAGGGCTTTGCAGATACCACATCCCTAGTCCCAAGTATCTGGGACTACAGAAGTGGACCACCGCATTTATCTCACAACAGCCAAGTGTTTGTTTGTTTTGTGGTACTAGAGTTTGATCTCAGAACCTTATACTAGGCAGATGCCAAGTCTTTCATGTATATGAACATTTTGAGCTGTCACCTAATTACCATCTGTGGTGCTGTCAGCACATTCTCCCTTAGTATGTCTGAGAAAGGCAAGCTGATTTTAGCCAAATGGCCTAGTTGAAGGCCATGGGGAAGAATGAGTGCTCTCCCTGGAACCAAAACCCAGTCATACCATGGTCTCTCCCAGGACACGTTTGATATCCGGATCTTGATGGCCAAGTCTGTGAAGTACACAGTGAACTTCCTAGAAGCCAAAGAAGGAGATTTGCACAGGTACCAGGGGCACCTAAGCCCCATCCCCTGGGCCTGGCCCATGCTGAAGGTCAGGACCAATGCTGGCTCCATGGCTGTTGGCTGTCCCAGGGCAGGTGGGTGGGGCCCTGGCCTCCACATCTGGCCATTTCTCTCTTCTCCCAGAAGCAGTTTGGCTTCCCCAGCAAATTACTGCTCTTTGCTTTGCAGGATAGAAATCCCATTCAAATTCCACATGCTGCACTCAGGGCTGGTCCACGGCCTGGCTTTCTGGTTTGATGTTGCGTTCATCGGCTCCATGTGAGTGTGCAGAGCAGACCACCCTGCAGAGGGCTCTCTGCAGCTACAACCCCCAGATCTGGCTGGGGGCAGGGAGGGTGGGACACAACTCCTCACCTTCCTCTGTCCCATCCAGCAGGCAATGAGAACGTGTCCTTGAGCAAGAGGCCATTGTGGGAGGGGTTTCCCTACTCCATTCTCAGTGCCCGTCTCTCTCAGGCCCTTGTCTGTCTCTTGGCACATAGGACAGCTGTGGATCCCTTGTGCACCGCACGTGCGCTTGGGCCAGCCTCGAAGCTAGCCTGTCTTAGCTTTGGAACCCAGCGGACCAGTTGGGTGGGGACAGGCCTTTGGGGAGAGCTCAAGGTGTACAGGGTAGTGACACCAGCCCAGGCAAGTGTGTGCCTGTTCCTGTTTGACAGAATGACCGTGTGGCTGTCCACAGCCCCAACAGAGCCTCTGACACACTGGTACCAGGTCCGGTGCCTATTCCAGTCACCACTGTTCGCCAAGGCCGGGGACACGCTCTCAGGGACATGTTTGCTTATTGCCAACAAAAGGTAGGTCTTGTCACCTGGGCAGGGAGTGGAGACGGGTCCGCTGGCCCGGCATCCTCACAGCCACCTTCCCCTGCTCCACACAGACAGAGCTACGACATCAGTATTGTGGCCCAGGTGGACCAGACAGGCTCCAAGTCTAGTAATCTGCTGGACCTGAAGAACCCCTTCTTCAGGTAGGAGGGCTCCTATGAGGGACGCTGGATGGCACAGTGACACGGCCATACCCATGGTCCCTCTCTGCCACAGATACACGGGCACAACGCCCTCACCCCCACCCGGTTCGCACTACACATCTCCCTCCGAGAACATGTGGAACACAGGCAGCACCTACAACCTCAGCAGCGGGATGGCTGTGGCTGGTGAGTCCCTGGACATGGCTGGCGGCCTTCAGTGGCCAGCCCAGAACCCTTCTGCCCCCAGGGTCTGCCTCTGGCACCCCATCCAGGATACCCTCCCACCCCTGACTTCCCTCTCCTGGACACAGGGATGCCCACCGCATATGACCTGAGCAGTGTTATCGCCGGTGGCTCCAGTGTAGGCCACAATAACCTGATTCCTTTGGGTGAGTGTTCCCTGGGCTCCGGGGGTGGCTAGGGAAGACAAGTCTACTCTGGGGCAGGGTAAGGCTGGTGGCCAATCCATCAACCAGTGCTTGGTCTTCCGGTACCAATGTCACCGCCATCACTGCCACCTTTTCCTCCTTCTGGGGCCTCTGGGCTGAAGCCCTGCACTTGTCTCTTCCTTGCTCTGTCGCTGCTGATCTGCCCTTCCCACACCGCTGTGAGAGCGGGGTGGGCCAGGCAGGCTGGGGGCGTGACGCCATCCCCCTTCCTCCCTCCCTCCCTCCCTCCCTCCCTCGCTGTTGCTGTGCAGCCAACACAGGGATTGTCAATCACACGCACTCCCGGATGGGCTCCATAATGAGCACGGGGATTGTCCAAGGTAATGAGCTGGAGGGACCACCTGTGGGTGGGGGCTACCGCCTTGCATGCATGCTCTCATGCTAAAGGGGGCTGGGCAGGTGCAGGGGTCCTGCCGTCCTTCAGTGCACACGGCCTGCCCCACAGGCTCCTCGGGTGCCCAGGGCGGCGGTGGCGGTGGCTCCAGTGCCCACTACGCAGTCAACAGCCAGTTCACCATGGGTGGCCCCGCCATCTCCATGGCCTCGCCCATGTCCATCCCAACCAACACCATGCACTACGGGAGCTAGGCGCCTCGGCCATACTGACAGCACCAGGAAACCAAATGAAGCCCCGCCCGGCCCCTCACCCGCCTGGGCGGCTGTCCCCTGTACTGGAGAAGCCTGAACACCGGTCACAGCCCTCTTTGCTATGGGAACTTGGACACTTTTTTACACAATGATGCCGCCGCCCCAAGCCACCCTGGTCCACCCCCGGCTCGGAATGCGTGTCGCTGCCATATTTTACACGAGATCATGTCGGGGGAGCCCTTGTCCCCTCCTGCCCTTTCCACTCTGACCTGGCTCTGACATCTGCTTTAACAGACAAGTCAGAAACCACAGCTGCGTCCTGGTGGGGTGGGAGAGGGGAGCATCTGCCACGAAGCCCAGGCTGCCCTGCCCCACCGTCCCCATGCCTGCCCCCTTCACCTGTCTCTAGTGGGAAGGCAGCCCCGGCTGATGGGACCTTTCCTTCAACTACCAGGCCACCATGGGTGTGACATGCTGCTTTTTTTAGTTTTATTTTTTTACGAAAAGAACCAGTGTCAATCCACAGACCCTCTGAGAAACCCGGCCGGCCGGGCCCAGCCAGCAGCCCGTCCCCAGGCTCAGGCTTGGTGGTGAGGGGGCAGCCCTGCTAAGCCTTCAGGGCAGGCAGGACCCCTCCCCATGAAAGAGTTCACCTCACACTTGAATGTACAACCCACCCTGGCTATCTGAAGGCCATCCGTCCTGGCCCTGCCTTGTGCTGCTGTCCTGGCCCTGAGCCCCTGCTGGCCCTCTCCACTGAAAGCTGGAGCAGCCCAGAGGGAAGGTCACCATGGGCCACTTGGGGCAGACAGAAATCTCAAGGATGTGTCACGAAAGGCGTCCTTTTCCCTGTAGCTGACATTAGGCCTGTGTATTTCCCTATCACACTTGTAGACGCTCCAGTCCCTACCACCATGATGGCATTTTGGTACCTCCCCAGCCTGGGAAGGGACCTTGCAGGGACCTCTCCCCCCCAAAAAAAAAGAAAAAAGGAAGCAAAATAAACAAACGAGGAAACATGTTTCAGCACAGGCAGTTTTCTTCTTCTTCTGCCCCCTCGTTTCTAGCCACTCCCATCTCAGAAGCTGGCGCTCAGGCTAGGCCCCAAGCCCACTGCGTGCACCGCTGGGAAGGGCTGGGGCTGCCCCTTGTGGTCCTCCTGGCCTTGGAGTCCTGTCAGGGAAAGCAGAAGGCCAGCAGACAGGCTGAGGGGGCCAAGCTCCATCCTTTCCCATGGCTGTGTCACCTGCCCTGCCCGAGCCTCCCTGGAAGCATCCTGCTCGGCTGCCCTTCCTCCGCCTTTATAATAAATTCTCTGGATCACCTTTGCATAGAAAATAAAAGTGTTTGCTTTGTAAGAAAAGTCTGGAAAGTAGCAAAGTGGTCTTGAGGGGTCAAGGGAACTCCAGTCCTTTTCAAGGGCAGGATATAGGTTATCTTCTTAGGTTGGGCCTGAAAGAGAGAAAATCCTAGAGGTGGCCCTGGGGAGGCAGGAGGACACCCCAGCTGCTGTGGGAAGCTGCCCCTTACCTCCAGGATCAGGCCTTCCTAGGAGGTAGCCATGGAGTGGCGCAGGGTAGGTGACAGCAGAATTTTTGGGGACAGCGTTACGGCTTGAGACGGAGGTGGCTCTGGAGGCAGTGGTTGGAAGAAGTACAGCTGGAGAGAGACCCCCCCGCCCAGGTCACTGCACAGCCAGGGAGCCAACCATGCCCTGTTGCCCGGCAGTGGTGAGGGGAGGGTGCACTGGACCTGTACCTTACAGCCCATGGCCAGGAGGGCGTGGAGCAGCACCACAGTGGACAGCAGCACAGCGGCCACCAGCCTGGTGTCTTCGCGGACAACAGGCCAGAGGGTGAACACCAGCCCAGCAGCCGACAGTGCCAGAGCGAGTGCCCCAAAGAGCCACTGCAGCCACGGCACAGGGATGAGCCACAGGACCTGGGGTGATGCAGGCAGCTGGTGACCTGGCCAGGCAGGCCCCCCAGCCCTTGGCCATGCCCCTCCCATGGGGCTCCAGCTCACCACAGTGGGGATGAAGACGAAGAGGGAGTAGCCGTAGACACTCACAGTCTCCAGGAAGGTGTAAGGCCCCATGCGCTCCCGGCTGCCCTGGCGCCACCGCAGGAAGCCCCACAGTGCCAGTGGCACCAGCCACGCATAGCAGTAGATGGCAGTGCCTGCCACGGTCACTGAAGGCAAAATGGCAGCAGTCACCCCACACTGTGGGCCCCCACTGCTGGGAGCCGAGCCCGCCCACCTTGCTCACCCTTGTGGAACTGGGGGCTGTAGTGGATGGAGGGGTCCCTCCTCTGCGCCAGCACCAGGCTCAGGTTGCCAGTGACAGCCAAGACAAAGGCCAGTGTGGCACAGATCCAGAACGGGCCTGCAGGGGGACATGGTCAGAGTCGCTGGCCCAGCATTCAGGGAGAAATGGATGGATCTGGTCAACTCTGACTCTCACCAGGTCATTGGCCCCCAGTGGCTGCATCAGGGCTGCTCAGCTCATCCCTTTCTTCATGCAAACGTTCCACGTGGTCTCCAGGACCCCTGTGCTCAGCTTCTGTCTCATCTCAACCTTTTCAGCTCCCTGGCAAAACTCTACACTCTGGGAGCAGTTGGGCCTGGGCTCTGCTCACCCCTCGCATGGGTTTGTCCAGCCTTGGGGCATCCTGCCACTTCAGCTGTCTACTCCCAGAAGGATGAGTGCCCTGAACTGTTCCTGTGGCTGTCTTCGTGAGTCTCCAACCCACTTACCATGCTTGCTCCTTCCCCTCACATCTGCTAAGCTTTTCACATCCATCCAACAGTACCCCACCTTCTCCTGGGAGGTCAGGTGGGAAGTCTCAGGACCATTCTGGCCCTTCCCTACCATTTGTCTCATCTGTCAGCAAATCTTGTTGTTTCTGCCTCCACCCATAGTCTCCACCATAACAGTCCTTCCCTGCCTCATCTCCCAGCTTCTACTACAGCCCCCGTGAGGCTAGAGGGAACCTGAGGAACACTTCACTAAGATTCCTTCTCACCACAGTATCTGACATCTGTCCCATCACCTTTGTGGCCTCCAGGCCGCTGGTCTGCTCCAGTAACCATGCCAGCTCCCTCCCTGGGGCTGAGGCCCTCTCTGGGATGCTCCTCCCGTTTCTCCCCACACTGATGCCAACATGACTCATTCTCTTTGCCCTCTTCAGAAGCCGTCCTGACCCAGCTAAACCAAACAGCCATGCCATTCACCCTCTAAGCCAGCCTCTGTGTCTCCGTCTCCCTGAGCACTGCACAAGTTTCTCTCTCCCTGCTTTGTTCTCAGCTCTACAGCAGGGCCTGACAGTCAGTGCATTTTTGTTGAATGAATAATTGAATGAACCAAGTACACAACCTCACTCACCATAGAGATCAGGCCGGTTCCGCAGACGGTGCCGGACAAAATTGTGACCAGGCCTAGGCAGCAGTGAGCCTTTGATACGGTCCAGGACCTGGAGGGCAAGGCCAGGGACCAGACTGGAAGCATGCTCAGGGCTCCTTCCTGACCGAAGGTGTTTCTCCTGTGGACCTCCAGCCTCCACTCTCATGCTATGCCTGAAACAGCTCACCTGGCCCCTGGTTTTGAGCAAGTAGGATGGTTTTTTGTTTTGAGACAGGGTCTCACCATGTAGACCAGGCTGGCCTCAAACTTAAGATTTTCCTACCTCTGCCTCTCCAGTACTGCAATTTATAGGCGTGAACCACAATACTCATCCCCTCTAGGCTTTTGACAGGTCATTCCCATGGCTTGGAGCCTCTTGCTCTGGCTACCTCTGCAGAACATGCCACTGCTCCAGGCCTCCACATTCCTTTCTGCTTCTTCCTCAGCTTGGCTGAGTGGACTGCCCTTGCCCCAGTAAGGATGGCCATTGAGACTTGGCCATTATCTCTCATACATGTCTCCAGGAAGTGCCCTACTTTGTGGCCCTGGATTATCATGGAACCTTGCCTGGATCCCAGCCCCTATACCGTGTGCATGTTTGCTCATTCTACTCATGCCTGTTCTGAGAATAAAAGAATAAAACCCAAAACCCAAGCTGGGCACTGGTGGCTCAACCCTGTAATCCTAGCTACTTGAGAGGCTGAGATTGGGAGGATCACCATTCAATGCCAGCCCAGGCAAATAGCTCTTGAGGACCCCTCCTCCCCACATCTGCACAATAACCAGAGCAAAATGGACCGGAGGTGTGGCTTTTGCGGTAGAGCACCTGCTTTGCTGTGCAAAGCCCTGAGTTCAAACCCCAGTCCCACCAAAAAAAAAAAAAAAATCCAATTCCTTACAGAGCCTTTCATCCCAGCTACTTGGAAGGCTGAGGGAGGAGGATAGCTTGAGCATAGGAGTTGGAAGCTAGCTTGGATAGCATAGTGAGACCATGGTTCAAAAAAAACCCAACATACACATATATAGCATATATATGCATATATATATAATCTACACATATATGTATATAGTATACATATAATTTACACATATGTATGTGATTATGTATGTATTAAGCATAATACATATGTAATGTGTATGTGTCTTTTGTGACCTAGCTTCTGTCTGCCTGTCCCCCACCTCACATTCCAACCAGATTCAATGATAGGCAGCCTCTGCCACCAATCAGGCCTTCTCTCACTATTGTTTGTCGTTGGTGTGTTCCTTGTGTCTGGAATATACTTGTGCTCCCTCCACTCTGCCTGGGTAACCTTTCCTTCTGTGGGTATAGCAAATTCCTCAGCTGCTTCTGGAGGCCCTTCTCTAACACACAATCCAGTGTGTTCTCTCTGCCCTGGCCACCCCACTTCCTTCTGTTGGGCTGGGTAGGATCACTTGTTTTCCCACATAACTGCCACCAGCACCTTGCCCCAGTACTGGTGCTGGATGAATGGGGGCTGAACCCCAAATGGGCTTGGAGCCTAGCCCACCAGCATCGTAGGGCTCACCTGTGAGGTGTCCACGTCAAAGAAGCTCTGGTAGTAGCCAAAGGTCCAGAATCCAGGCTGTGGCTTCTCTTCCTGTAGGAGCTGCACAGCATGGACTTTCAGAGCCTGCCCCAACAGCACAGCCCGGCTCAGCCAGGGTGGGTAGAGGCAGGGCCCAGGGACCTAGGTGACTCACCGCTGTCTTGTCACCCTCTTCCTCCACCTCATCCTCAGCTCTGTAGTCAACACTGGAGCCCACCGCCACAGCCACGTGCCCCTGTGGAGTCAGCTGATCACTTCTGTTGGTGGTAGCATTCGGGGTCTCTGCCAGAAGATTAGTGGCTTCCTCGAATTCTACAGCAGCGAGAGAATATGGGACACAGGCACGTTTGGGGGCTTGAGACAATTCGGCTTGGTCCACTGCTTATCTGGGGGTGCTGAGTTCTAACTGTAGGCACCTGGATACTCTCCTGAGGCAGGTTCCGATTTCCTGTTTGGGGGCGAAGAGAAGTCTGTGGCCTCACTCCTATCATAGACCTGTAATTTGGGGTTGGTCCTGGGATAGACTCGGATCTGGGGACCAGAGGCCCTGACTGGAGGGCGAGGGGGGGATTGAGTGCCGGATGGGTCTCACTCCCGGGTTAGGTTTCGGGTCAGGGTTCACGTTTAATTATGAATTGGAAGTTGTGTAGGGGGTTCTGACTAGGAGCAAGAATCGGAACTCCGGTTTCTTCGAGGCAGCACTCACCGTGGAAGGCCAACTCGTCAGCCTCTGCCATGGTCCTTCAGGGGCGTCGCCGCATTCCCGTTCTAAGGACAGAAGCGGGTCAGGCCGCACCCGTCTCAGGGCCTGTCAGTCAGCCTCAAGCCTTGCCTGGAGGCTCACGAAAAGCCCGAGGGCTTAAGATCGCGGAACCGGCCCCCAGGTGCACCCCGCCCTCCTCACCTGAGGTTACCTAAGTCGGCGTGGCCTGCGCTCTCTGCGCCTGCGCGTTCCGCCTACCCGTCAGCGCCCACCCCTCTAGGACCAGACAGCAACATCCGGCGTCGGTCCGTATCTTATTGTCTTTCGGTAGGAACCCAGTTCCGGCAGCTTTGGCGTTTGCACAGAAGAGACTTTCCGGGCCTTTTATTTCGAGTACCGGGCATTTCTTTTCGGAGGCCGGACCCCCAGTCCGGAAGAGGATGGTGACCGCTGCTCTGAAGAGATTTTGGTCCCGAGGGCGCGGAGAATCCGGCGGACAGTCAGTTGACCTGGCGGTGGCAAAGCCACGCGTGTGGGCGCGGCTGGGTGAGTAGTGGTGGAAGGTGGCGGGGCGGGGGGAGTGTCTCCAGCTGCTGAATGGCTCTCATCGCGCTTCTTTTCCCTTAGGCGCCTGGGCCCGCGCGCTGCTCCGGGACTACGCGGAGGCCTGCAGGGACGCGGCGGCGGCGGCGCGGGCCCGGCCGGGACGCGCGACTGTGTACGTGGGGCTGCTGGGCGGTGTGGCGGCCTGCTGCGCGCTGGCGCCGAGCGAGATGGCCTTCGAGGAGTCGCTGCTGGAGGCGTCGGGTTCCCTTCTGCTGCTGGCGCCGGCCACGCGCAACCGCGACTCCGAAACTTTTGTGCAGCGGCTGCTGTGGCTGCGGGGCCGCGGCCGCCTGCGCCATGTGAACCTGGGGCTGTGCTCGCTCGTGTACGAGGCTCCCTTCGACGCCCAGGCCAGCCTCTACCAGGCCCGCTGCCGCTACCTGCAGCCCCGCTGGGTGGATTTCCCGGGTCGCGTTCTGGATGTGGGCTTCGTGGGTCGCTGGTGGGTCTTGGGGTCAAGGATGCGCGACTGCGACATCAACGACGACGAGTTTCTCCACCTACCGGCCCATTTGCGCATCGTGGGGCCCCACCAGCTGCGATCCGAGGCCAACGAGCGGCTCTTCGACGAGAAGTACAAGGCGGTGGTGCTCACCGATGATCAGGTGGACCAGGCGCTGTGGGAGGAGCAGATGCTGCAGAAGGAGAAGAAGGACAGGCTGGCCCTGAGCGAGGCCGACGAGCTTATGCAGCCCGAGGTGGCCAGATGAAGGCCAGCGACATTGGTGCCACGCAGCTCTCTCGTCGGCTCCGCACAGGTTCGGGGAGCCCATTTCCCTCTCCTTGTTCCTTCTTAGCTGAGCTCATGCTCAGCCTGGGTGATCTTTGACGTAGGGAGAGCAGAGCGACTTGACCATGTAAGGTTTAGCACTACCAGAGCTAGTCACGAGCCTTGGACATTTAAGACAGGGTCTCTCTGTGTCGCCCAGCCCAGTCTAACTGCTGAGCCACAGGTGATGCTCCCACCTCAGCCCCCGAAGTAGCTAAGACAACAGGCCGCCATGGCCGGTTTCAGATTTTCTTTTTAAATTGGAACTTAAATGGGTTTATTCTTTGTTCTCTTCTTTGTGTGTGTGTGTATTATGTGCACCCCCACACTGGGGCTTGAACTCAGGACCTTCCAGTCACTGGGCAGATGCCCTACCACAGAGTCACATCCATACCCTTGTTCTTTTTTGAGTAACATTAAAAAAAAATTTTTTTTGAAATACAGACTCAACATGTACCTGATTAAATAATACAGAAACATCTTCCCTGAAATGGCAACATTTTATTTGAATAATTCTAAACCAGGAAGGAAATTGGCATTGGTGTGACTCTGGTTGTGAGAAGGGAATTTCTTTGCAAAACAACCTGATTTTACTGTGTGTGCATTGACAGTGGCTGGAAGTGGGCTTGGAAGGACAGACTGCAGTGCTGTGAAAATCTGTATGGAGTCGTAGGTTCTGTGTGTGTTACACTGCAGGGTAAAAATGAGTTCTATGGAAAGGAAGAAGCTAGGGGGCAGGGGGTACACAGTTGGGTTATGGGAATCACACCTTTCAAGCTACACTGTTAGGGGAATGAGACTACCTGTGTCACCTGGGTGGCCTGTGGCTAGTTGATAAAAGCAGAAGATCAAACAACTATCTTTGCTGTGATTTCTTTTCTTTGTTTTGTTTGCTTTTGTGTGTTTTGCCACTTTTAGTTTTCGGCACTTGGACCTTCCATTCGTGATATGGATGCACTGAACACACAGTAGTTCTTAAATCCTTATTTTGTGGTCAGAGGGGTATTTCAAAGCCTGCAACTCCATTTTATAGAGGAAAAGTGGAGGTTCTGAACTTTTACTTTTAACAAGGCTGAGGCAAATCCAGCCTTCAAACTCCTAACTCCCAGCCCTGTGACAGTCCTCAGACTTGTAGTACAGTACTATTTTTGTTCCTAACAACGTCTTGACAGAAGTTTATCTAATTTTATTTTGTTTTTTTTGAGTCAGGGTCCTAATATGTAATCCTGACTGGCTCAAATTCACCATCCTACCTTCGCCTCCCCAGTGCTGGAATTACAGGCACACACCACCTTACTTATTTCTAAATAAAAGTTTCATCATGGTAATATTTAATAATTTCAGGCCAGGAATATGCCTGTAATCCCAGCTACTCAGGAGGCTGAGGCAGGAGGATCTTCAGTTTTTTGGAGGGGGGAGGAGGGGATGAATAGAACTGGTGTTTGAACTTACGGCTTTGTACTTGCAAACCTGGCACTCTACTGCTTGTGCCACACCTCTAGTCCATTTTTCTGTGGTTATTTTAGAGATGGGGTCTTGCAAACTATTTGCCCAGTCTGACCTCAAACCACAGTCCTCCTGATCTCAGCCTCCCAAGTAGGTAGGATTATAGGTGTGAGCCATCAGGGCCTGGCTAGGATCTCCAGTTTTGAGGCCAGAATGGACTGTATACCAAGACCCTGTTTTAGAAAACAAGTAAGTTAAAAAACATATTTAAAAATGAAATGAAAACAAGTGACAAGTAATTCTAAATTCTAGTTCTATACTGTTATTTGCCAAAGGCCCTGGAATCAAAATTCTATTCTCTCTGTTAAGAGAGGGTTCAACTTGGCATCAAATTAGATGTGTTTCTCATTGTGAACCAAAGTGTTGGATCCAGCTCAAATCTGAAATAGCAAAATGGTTGTGTTGTCTGTATTTCTAGAAGGGAGGAGAAATGGGAGGAGAAAGGTGGGTTTGACTCTCAGTTCATATATTTTCTAGCTTTGTAAGTGATGTTCCAGAACAACCTGGTCCCAGTGTTTGAGAACCAGCCCTGTGGTCGCCCGAGACAGAAGAAAGAGAAGCAGATAGATCAGGATTGTACAGAGTATAATTTATTGGGGGATGGGGGTTGGAACTGGCAGAATGCTTTTGAGTGGCAGCAATACTGGGTGTTTCCTACAATTTGAATCAGAAGGAGGGACATACGTATTGGTGATTTCATTCAAGTTGGAAGTACAAGGTTTATCTTAAGCCACTATCAGTGCCAGGTCCCCAAACTAGAAACCACTGAGTTAAAACCCTAGTGCTACAAAAAAATAAGTAACAAAAAAAATTGGAAATCATTAAACTATTTGGTACATCGTAGACATTCCAACCATGCCTCATGGCTGCTAGGGGAAGATGATGGCTCTGAGTCCATGCTGGGCCCTTCCCATGTGGGAAGGCTCAGTGGCAGAGCAGTGGAGCCAAGGGGTTCCTGTTTCTCAGGAACATCTCACAGATGTTTTTTCTTTTTTATTCCTGTTGACACAGGGTCTCTCCATAGCCCAGGCTGTCCTCGAACTCATGATCCTCCTGCCTCAGCCTCCCTCATGCTGTGGTTACAGACCTGTGTCACCATGCCCAGCAAAGATTCTTGAGTCTAATGTGTTCAAATTCTCTCTTAAAATGTAAACATTTATGGTCCTGGGGATCAAATCCTGCACCTTACACGTGCAAGGCAAAGGGTCTACGATTAAGCTATACCCACAGTCCTTAAAACTTATCCTTAGCCAGGAGTGGTGGCACAAGCCTATAATCTCAGACGGGGTCAAGAGGATCTCAAGTTCAAGGCCAGTCTGCTACATAGTGAGACTCTATCAAAAAAGAACAAGAAAGAGTTGGTAGAGTGGCTCAAGTATAGAGGGCCTACCTAGAAAGCAAAAGGCCCTGAGTGCAAGAGTGCAAACTCCAAATCCTCCATTAAAAAAAAACAGCATAAGGTGTTTTGTTGTTTTGTTTTGTTTTTGCAGTACTGGGGTTTGAGCTCAGGGCCTTCACTTGGGCCGCTCCACCAGCCCTTTTTGTGATAGGGTTTTTTGAGACACAGGATACTGTCTCACGAACTATTCTGTGGACTGGCTTCGAACCTTGATCCTCCTGATCTCTGCCTCCTAAGTAGCTAGGATTACAGGCATGTGCCACCAGCGCCCAGCTAGGTTTTTTTTTTTTTTTTGAAGGTACTGGGGTTTGCACTCAGGGTCTTGTGCTTGCTAGGCAGGTACTCTACCACTTGAGCCACACCCCAAGCCCTTTTGCTAATTTTTTTGCCCCAGCTATGCTAGCCTCGAACCTCAGTCCTCCTTATCTCCAACTCCTGAGTAACTGGGATTACAGCTGTGAGCCATTGCTCTCTGTACTCAGGGTCTTGTGCTTGCTAGGCAGTACTCTACCACTTGAGCCACACCCCAAGCCCTTTTGCTAATTTTTTTGCCCCAGCTATGCTAGCCTCGAACCTCAGTCCTCCTTATCTCCAACTCCTGAGTAACTGGGATTACAGCTGTGAGCCATTGCTCTCTGTATTCGGGTTTTGTTTTTGAGACGGTCTATGTTGCTTAGACTTCCACACTCTTGCCTCAGCTTCTCGAGTGCTGGGATTTTTCAGGTGTGTGCCACCATGTCTAACAAAAAAATCATTACCCTTGATTTGCCAGTTCAGGGGTTGTCCTCCACATATGTCCTTAGTGCAGAAAACACTTTGCCTGCTGTTGTGATGAGAAAGACCAGCAGAGGGCACCAGAGCTTCAATTCATAGAACTTAGCAAGCTCCTTCTAGCCTTGCTATAGCCCTGTGAGAATGACCAGCCCCAGATTGCTTTTGTTTACATGAAGCAGGAAGCAGATGGAGTACAGTTGCTGCACATATCCTTTGTGCTTTAGAAATGGTGGGCAATGGCAGCAGTCGTGGCTACAGGGAGGGGGCAGTCCATCCCTAGTACCCGCGTCCTTACTTGGTTAGCATAGGAGGCTAGGAGAGCTTCTGTTTGTCCTGTGAGGAGAGATACCCCATCCCACCCCTCCTTCTCCCAAGTTCTGGGAGGGACAGGACCACCTGGTTGGCACTGAAGCTTGTCCAGTTTCCTAGTGTTCTGGGAGTTAGACAATAGAACAGGGATGTGGTAAAGCCAGGCTCCAGGACCTGTCAGATACCCAAATCTGAGGATGCTCAAGTCCCTAATAGAATTTGCATAGAACCTTGTGTATATCCTCCCATAGACTTTATTTTTTTAATTAATTAATTTATTTTGCCATACTTGGGTTTGAACTCAGGGCCTACATGTTGAGCCACTCCACCAGCTCTTTTTTTTTGTGATAGTTTTTTTCGAGATAGGGTTTTGCAGACTATTTGCCCTGGCTGGCTTTGAACTGCGATCCTCCTGATCTCTGTCTTCTAAATAGCTAGGATTACAGGCATGTGCCACCCAGCAACCAGCGACTTTATTATTTTTATATCTTTTATCTTTTGTTTTTGGCAGTACTGGGATTTGAACTTGGCCTCACACTTGCTACCACTTGAGTCACACCACCAGCCCAGATTTCATTCTTTTTTTTTTTTTTTTTT